GGGGGCGGAGGGGGCGCGGCCGGGGAGGGCGAGGCCCGCGGCCATTGGTCGGGGCAGCCCGGATGGGGGGTGGAGAACAGGCGGAGGGTCGAGTCCCGGGGAGCGCGCCGGGGGCCCGCAGTCGCAGCGGCGGTCCGAAGAGCCAGTGCCCCGAGCGCAGAGCCGGCGCCCGCCATGAGGGAGATCGTGCACATCCAGGCGGGCCAGTGCGGGAACCAGATCGGCACCAAGGTGGGCCGGGCACTGGGCTCCCTGCGGGTGGGCAGCTGGCAGGCCTGGGGTGTCGGGGCTCGACCCCTCAGTGCGGGCGCCCCGGTGCGCACCCTCTCTGTGCCTCGGTCCTCGGAGCCCAGCCCTGCCCTGCGCGGCACTCGGGAAGTGCTTCGAGGAGTGGCGCGGCCGAGGAGGGGGCGTCACAGCCAGGGACCCCCTGCCCCTCACCCCTATCCCTACCCAAGCTGGGAGCGGCCGCCGGCGGCTCAGGCGCGCCTGGAATTCGGCAGCCGGGCCCCGCGCACCCCGCCCCGCCGGGCCAGCCCTGGCGTGAGCCGCGGGGGAGGGCGCCCTAGGCTTCGGGTTCTGACCGTCTGTTCCCCCGCCTCGCCCTGCCCAAGTTTTGGGAAGTGATCAGCGATGAACACGGTATCGACCCAGCCGGAGGCTACGTGGGTGACTCGGCGCTGCAACTGGAGAGAATCAACGTCTACTACAATGAGTCATCCTGTGAGTAGCGCGGCGCCGCCGGGACTCCGCCCTTCCCCGTCGGACCCCGCCGTCCCCCTCCCAAACCCTCGGCCATCCCCGCCCGGACCCTGGCCATCTCCTCCTCAGATCCTGGCCACCCCCCTCTGGGGCCCTAGCCATCCCGTCCCGGACCCTCGGCCCCCCCGCCTGGACCCCGGCCATCCCTCTCCCGGACCCGGCCTTACCCCTCCGGGACCCCGGCCTTCCCGGGTCTTCTCCGACCGATCCAAGGTTGGCGCTCAGGATGCCGCCCTTGCGCTAGGGTAGTTTGCCCTCGGAAATTTTCCAGGGATATAGCAGGATGCCCGACTCCCTCGCTTCCCCTGGGGCGGGAAATCCGCCGTCAGTTTCTTTCAAACAGCCGAATTTGGCCCATCACGGGGTCTGAACTCTTGAACTAGACAACCCGTTAGTTAGTGTTGTGAAATCCCTTACTGGGTCATGTCCGACTTTTTGTTTTGTTTTGTTTTTCAGTTTAAAATGGATCTCTTAGTGGAGATTCTTGGCTAAAAATTTGAAAAGCACTCAGTTAAATGACTTTTCTGACCTTTTACCGACCTCCAAAAACTCTCTATGCTCCCTGGAAGCTGAAACTACAGACAATTCTGGATAATTGGTGGAGTTCAGTACAAATTCCAAGCTGTGGTTTATCCAAGTTTGGGAATAACATCACCTCTGCCCTGGATACCTACATATATATAGTGGCTATATGTATACATTATTTGTTACAGTTTTTATTATAAAAGTGATAGGTGCCCTTCACAAAACAACAAAAAACTAAGACTTTGAAAGAACACCCAGAAAATGACAGATGCTACCCTTCCACATGCATGACATATGTCCCCAGAAAGAATTAATCTGGTTTTTGGAGTCACTTGCTGTTTGTCCACACAAGAGTTGTGAAGAGCAGGATACATAAATCACTGGGATTTATTCATTCAGCAGCTAGAAGAAAAGGTCTGGACAAGCAGGGCATAGAATATGAAATTTCTAGATAGCACTAAAGAAAATTCCAGTTATACATTGCATCTGCTGTTAACCTTCAGGTCCAGCTTGTTAATTTCCTTTCTTCAGTCTGGCTATGTGTGTGTAGCTGGACAGGAGTTGTAGGGTGCAATCCTGTTAACCCCATCCTCACTGGGGAACAAGTTCCTGCCCACTAGGCATGAAAATGTGCTTGCTAACAAAAAAGCTACACAGCAACACTGGTTCATACATGAGAGTGGATCCTGGCCACCCCCCTCTGGGGCCCTAGGAAACAGCCTGGAGCCCGGAAACAGCCCATGGGATCGTACCTATAACGAGGTGCCCAGGCTAAAGCTTGGATTCATGTATGTGTGTGCATGAGGGAGGTGCCAAAAAGTGGAAAGAATGTAGAGCAACACAGCAATTAGCTGCAACAGATACAGTTTATTTCCATGGAGCTAAAAAAGTAAAACTTCCCAACAGGAAAGAGGTGTCAGGGTGAAGTGGAAAATACAGAAGGCAGGACGTCAGGAGACCTGATTTCTCATCCTGCTTATTCCTGGCACTTCCTCTGCCCATTCATGCTTGGGCTGGTTTCCTCATCGGAACAACTTCAGCTGGAACTGTGTTCCCCCAGGCCCCGCCCAGTGCTGAGGTTCTGGGGTCCTAAGAAAGCCGGGCCTGTCTCTGAAGAAACCCTGCTTCCTACCTGTCCAGGCAGCTGTGCTGGGGGGACTCGCTAGGGGACAGTCCATGACTCTGGAGACCAGAAAGTGACCCTTGGGGGTGGGCTTTGTTCTCTTCCAGCTCAGAAATACGTGCCCAGGGCTGCCCTGGTGGACTTGGAGCCAGGCACCATGGACAGTGTACGGTCCGGGCCTTTCGGGCATCTCTTCCGGCCGGACAACTTCATCTTCGGTGGGTTCCATCTCCTGCTTCCTTCTGCCTCTTTCTGTTTTTTTTTTCACACATCAAACTACTTTATGTGCAAGATTAAAAGATAAAAGCTTAGGATGGAAATTAGCAGTCTCCAGTGTCGTGACAGGGTGCTGCCCCTTTTAGTTCTTGACTTTTCTTTAGGAAAGTAATCTCTGTCTCTCTAAATGAAATGCTTGTATTGATAGTTCTTGGTTTAACAAATTTTTTAGACATTAACTTCTTTCTTGCCCTTATAAATTATCATTAATATGATGATAATCATTTGTTTTGGTTCCTATGTTGCTCATCTTTTTTTTTTTTTTTTAAAGATTTTATTTATTTGACAGAGAGAGACACAGCCAGAGAGGGAACACAAGCAGGGGGAGTGGGAGAGGGAGGAGCAGGCTTCCCGCTGAGTGCGGAGCCCGATATGGGGCTCGATCCCAGGACCCTGGGATCATGACCTGAGCCGAAGGCAGACGCCCAACGACTGAGCCACCCAGGCACCCCTGTTGCTCATCTTTTAATTGCAGTGTGTTTATACCTATATTTCTCTTTCATTACCTATAGACAGTTATTTTGCTTTTTTCCCAAAGGCTGGCACTGTGTGAATTTTGTTTTGTTAGAACTGGGCAAATCCTTCCCTCCCTTCTTCCACCTAAGACATGATAAAGCACCTGTCCATCCACACACTCCCAAAGAAAATTGTGTATTGTTAAATGGAGGCTACCAGCCTCCATCACCCTGTAGCCGTGGTTTTTAGAATCAAGGTTACTTGACAAAATACTCAGAGGAGGAATATTCAAAATATGCAAGAAGAGACAGACTCCTGAAAGATTTTATTGGTACATGACCTGATGACTCTCTAGTAGAGTCAGGTAGTGACCTGTTATAAGGGGAACTCAGCAAGATGAACGTTCACAAAGTTTATGAATCCTTTGAGTATCATCCCCTTCCCCATCACCCTGACAACTTACACAACCAACGGGACAGGCAAAGTTTCTGATAATAACTTGTTCAAGGGTTGGGCCATAACTGGCCCCAAGCGAAGCCTCTTCTGGACTCTGCTGCCCAATGTGGTAGCCACTAGCCACATGTGGCTATTTAAAGTTCATAGAAATTACATAAAATCAATTCACTTCCTCAGTTGTACTAGCTACATTTCAGGGGCTCAATAATTAAATGTGGCGAGTGGCACCATGTTGGACATACGGAACAGTTCCTTCATCACAGCAAGTTCTATTGGATAGTAGTGCTCAAAGCCTTAATAGAGACACTCCACTAAATAAGGGAGTGAAAAGAGAAAACGGAAAGGCACTACACAAACACATGGCCATTCATAACCACTTCTACCTTAGGAGCCAAGGTAGAGCCTACAGGATGTGTGGCGGATTTGAAGGTGTTCCATTCGACGATCGTATTTTAATGTTAGATACCACACATTCACTTATGTTCTTTCTCAAAAATTACTGATGTAATTGAGTAAGAAATATGCCTAGAGAGAAAAATATTACTTATCAACAAAAGTACCTCAATCAACAATAAGCACAATTTCCATGCCCGTAAAAGGTAAAGTGTCTTACAAGGAAATGAGAGACTCTTAAGGCTGATTCATGGCTTAAAGTTACTGTGGTATAGAAATTAAATCTATCAGAGATCTACTTTCCAACCCCTTCCTCAAAAGGCACCATGTGGAGATGATTTCATTGAGAGTAACAGATAATCCTCTGCTATTTAAACCCTATGTATCTAGAATATCTCCTACATAGTAAGTGCTTGATAAATATTAGCAACATTCTAGGAATGCAAGGATGGTTCAACTTTGAGAAGTCAGCTAATAGGGGCGCCTGGTGGCTCAGTCGGTTGGGCGTCTGCCTTCGGCTCAGGTCATGATCCCGGGGTCCTGGGATCGAGTCCCACGTTGGGCTCTTTGCTCAGCAGGGAACCTGCTTCTCCCTCTGCCTGCCGCTCCCCCTGCTTGTACTCTCTCTATCTTTCTGACAAATAAATAAAATCTCAAAAAAAAAGAGAGAGAGAAGTCAGCAAATAGATTAAGAAAGACAACATCTTAATAGGTGCCCCAAAATATTTGATAAAATTCAGTATGTGTTCCTGACTTGTAGAGGACAAAAACCCTTATGTGCAAGCTGAAAGTAGAAAAGATACTTCCTCTGTTTAAGAATTACCTACAAATCCATAGCAACGTCACACTCACTGGTGAAACATTAGAAGTATTCCAAGCAAAGTCACTTATGAGAAAGAGATGTCCATTGTCTCTACTATTCCATGTTTTGAAGGTTCTAGCCAGTGCACGAAGACCAGAGAAAGAAAAGAGATACAGATCATTTAAAGGAAAAGACAAAATTGTTATTTGAAGGTGGAATGATTCTCTTGGATTTTCCAGATAGCCTGTCCAATGACCAGTGATTGGCACTTACAAGACCTCAATAAGGCAGTCACACACAAGATAAAGACTCAGACGTTATTGCTATGGGGTGACCAACTGTCCTGATTTGCCTGGGACTGGGGAGTTTCTCAGGACACTACCCGCTCAGTCCTGAAACTGGTAAAGTCCCAGGCAAACTGGGACAAATTGATCTCCTTAAAGGTAATAATCAATTATAAAATATAATGGGAAAATATCCTATTCACAATAGCAATGAAAGTTATAAATACCTAGGGACATAATTTACTAGTAATTGGGAATGAGGAGGAGACATTAAAACAAGACATTTTTCTCCCAACAGACAGGGTGGTACTTTAAAAACCAATAGCTGGCATTGGTGAGGTTGCTTGGGAGACTAAGTTGTAAGCATTGTCAGAGAACAGCTTACTGGATTCAGCAAATCTGGAATTTTGATTCAGCAGTTTCAGTTGAAGGAATTTGTCCTGAAGAAATGTTCGCACATGCATTATGGACATTGCGTACTGGTCTCTAGAAGAGCTGAATCCCTTTGCCCGCTCCCCCCCCTCCGCCCCCTTGCCCTTACTACCAGCTGGTGTCAGTCTCTGTCAGTTCAGCGGACTGCTCCCTCAGTTCCTGTGATGGAGACTTGACTGGGCAAATATTCATATTCTGTATGCCCAGAAGGAAAAAAGGACAACTCCCCTGTGGCACTGATCTTGACACAGATCAATGCCACCTTTCTCTTTCTCTTAGTGGGTATAGATTCTTCTTTTTTTTTTTTTAAAGATTTTATTTTTATTTGACAGAGAGAGATACAGCGAGAGAGGAAACACAAGCAGGGGGAGTGGGAGAGGGAGAAGCAGGCTCCCTGCAGAGCAGGGTATAGATCTATACCCCTAAGCGGGTATAGATCCTTAGCAGCTGTAGACTCTTCTTGCATGCACCATCTCACTGGGTTACTGAGTTTGGGTCGCCAAAAAGAGCACTGAGGGGCGCCTGGGTGGCTCAGTCGTTAAGCATCTGCCTTCATCTCAGGTCATGGTCCCGGGGTCCTGGGATCGAGCCCCGCATCGGGCTCCCTGCTCTGCGGGAGGTCTGCTTCTCTCTCTCCCACTCCCCCTG